CTCTTTTCAATAGGAAAATGTATGGCCAAGGTGGTTTTTCTTTTAAAATGTGGTCAATTTTAGAAAGTTATGCCCTTATATGAGAACTATGCTCATTTTTTTGGTCCTAGAGAAATTGTTGTAGTGTATTCCAGATTTTTTGCATTAGTTGGTTGTTCTCCATCCAAATTGTTTTGTGTTAGGTTAAATGCTATGAAGAAACCATGTAAAATCTCTCAGAATTTGATGGCCTGAGAGGGCCATTATTTAATTTTTCTTTGGAATTATGGGAATGTCAGTTCGTTCAGAGTAAAAAGATTAGGTTTAAGTTCTCTTGTGTAACACACATTATAAGATTAACAAAGCAAATTATGGCAAACCAAAAAGAATGGAATGTTGTTTCACTCTTTTTTGATGTGCTACTCCCCTATGTCCCCTTTGGTTGCCTTGTAGTTTTCTAGGGAACAGGGATCAAAATCCAGTAATGCTATAGGCAATATTTGATACACGAGGAGTATGGAATGCATGGTTATCAAAATTTTGATTCGGATTTTAAGATCTTATATGATGGGTTATAAGTAAATTAATCTGGGTCCACGTGGGAATGTAGGATTCCGATTTGAATTGTGATCTTATTGATTCAAGTAGTTAGGTTTGCTTCTTAGGTGCATTTAGTTGTTGATCAACATAGTTCATATTTTTCGTTTACAAAAGAGTTTTTTTATTCATTCGTCTCTCTTTGAAAAGTTTAAAGCAACGGTTAGATTTAATTTTCTCTCTCAGCGAATGATCATAGTCAAATAGTCTTATTTTTATTCTGTTTTTCTTTTTTTTGTTTGGATGTCATATACTCAATATTATTATTCAACAACGTTTCAACTTTTCAGTCTCTCTCTTTTTGAAACTTAAGATCAAAATAATTCAATCTTCATATTTCTCTTTGCAAAATTTTATATGATTAACAACAATTCACCTTTGATTTTAAGCCTTCTTTAGTATTCAAGTTGTAGTTTATCAAATTTCAAGCATATTTTAAGTTCTATGTTTGACCATTCCCAAAAAAAAAAATTATGTTTGTCATAGCATTTCTATTAGGTTTATCTAGTTTTATTTTTGGGAATTTTATATTGTTACATATATTTTTTATCTCATTTTTTTAATTAATAGGATTTTATGATTCTTTATTAGATTTTATAACTTCCTCAATTTTAAATACGTTGATGAAATGTAACCGTGACTAATGGGTGTGATTAGTTACTGGATACAAACAGAGAGACAAAGCGAATCCGTTTTGGGATCACAGAATCTATAAGCATACGCTTTGTTTAGATGGCAACTGATTATGACAATGAATCCATAATATTCAATGTATTTATAGCCCCACTTCCACAGGCGAGGATGGTTTGCCTTAGAAAAGACTAGGCAAAGCTCTTTGCATAATCCTTTTTCCCTCCTTTTATAATGGCAACTTGAAATACAAAAGGTAACCCCAGATGCAATGTTCGATTTTGTGCATATGGGTCCATAGTTTAAGATTTTTTAAAAAATATAAAAAATAAAAATCTGCAATTGATTCAAGTTACTTCTAAAAAGAAGTAAAAAAAAAGGTTAGATATATCCAATTCAGTGCATGAGTATTTATACTTTTGCGAGTTTTGTATTGGATTAGATTGATGCAGTTTTGTATACAAATAGATTGTTTGTATCAGTGTTATCAGAACCGGACCGGACCGACCAGTCGGACCGGTTCAATCGTGACCCAGGGTCTTAGTCGGTCTGGTTCTTTAGTTAGATCGTATAAGGAATTGAACCTCTGGAAAACCGTCAAACCGATGAACCAGAATATTTCTAAAACCCACCGGTTCACATCTTAATACCAATCGTCTCTTCGTCTTCGTTTTCTCCGGCACCCACTGGAAAACCGTCAAACCGGTGAACCAGAATATTTCTAAAACCCGCCAATTCACATCTTAATACCAGCCGCCTCTTCGTCTTCGTTTTCTCCGGCACCGATTCTCCATCTCTAGTACTCGAACAGCAGTGGCCACCACATATCTCCAAGATTCGAACTCCTCCACCACATATCTCGTCTTCTCCTTGTCTATGTAAGTTGTCTTCTGCTTGTCTCTCTCTCTATCTTTTCTGGGTTCATCTAAAAGTTATGGGCTGGAAGATGACTATCCTTCTGTCTCTTGGCTGAGTTCATCTCATCTTCTGTCTCTTGGCTGGGTTTATCTCTTTCTTTCTCTCTCTCTTTATATATCTATATCTACACGCACACACACAGAGTACACTATACGTTATACACACGCACACACAATCAGCACACACATCAAATTGAAATCAAGCATGTAAATTATGCTTTAAATTATGTGATGTGATTTTTATTTATATTATCATTGTAATTTTTATTTTGATTGTGGACTTTTACTTAAATTATTATGTTTTATAATTTTTTTATTTTTTTATTATACGACCAGTCCGGCCAGTTGATCCAACAGTTAGATCAGTGAACCATTGATCCGGTCCCTCTGTCGGATCGATGTCCGATCCGGTTATTGCTGGCGGAGAGAGATATGACCGAGAGATGAGACAAAAAAGGGTAAACATTCTTTTATAGTTGTAACAAAAAACCCTCCCTATTTTGCTGCTAATGGGATTCAAAAGACATACCTCATTAATTGATTTGAAGGGCGCGAGTTTCATTTTTAGCCTGTTTTTAAAAACATCAAATCCTTGTTTCTAAAATTCGGGGTTGTTTACAAAATAGATTGGCAAAAAAAAAAATGAAAACACACTCCAAACATGTATTTATTTTTATTTTTAGGAAAAATTGAAAACAAAAATAGAAAAAAAACGCAAACACTGTGTTACCAAACGACACCTTAGTTAAAACTTGTTTGTTTTTTTGTTATTGCAAATGAAAACTCTCACCTATTTATAGGGCTTTCATCTTACCATGAATGACTATGATATTGCCAAATTTCATACATTTATGGTGTCTCTAGAATATTTTGTGTAAATATCTAGTCTTCTAATATGTATAAGAATATTTTAGGTCTCTCTTATACTTCTCCATATATTCCTGGTACATTCTAGAATATTCCTTGGAGAAGATTTAAATAAGAAACCTTTTTTAAGATCCTCTAAAATATTCCTTCAAGGGGTTTTAAAATTAAAGAACTCGTCCTAAGATTGTTTGGCATTTTCAAAAAAATGACATTACAAAAGTCTCAGTTATTGTGTGTTGAGATACCTTATATTTTCAATATTTACATAAAAAATAGGAAAGACTGAAAAAATGAAGGTAATAAAAAAACATTCCTTCAATTGTGTTGTATTAGACTTAATTTATATCCGTTCCATTTATAAGCTTGTGTAATCCAATTTGTACAATATATAAATCGTGTTTAGCAGATTTATTTCTTGTTTAGTCGTATTTATGTTGATCCGTCTATTTGAGAGACCTATCAAGTTCATTTGTTTATCACTCGTATCTATTAAGACTAAACTCAAGCTCGTTATTTTTGTATCAATATTTATTGTGTAATCGAATTAGGCCTTTTGTGTCTTTCGCAATTCAAGCATGTGATATTTACCTATGCCAGATATATTCCAGAGTATAGAAATTGAAGGTGAAGATGAGAGTAGTAGCATCCAATCGACGACTTTAATGCTAGTCGTGAAGTTAATCAGTAATTATTTATCAAAGAAAGCTTTGGTAAGACGATGTATAGAGAGAGGTGTGGAGAGAGAAAGAGTCATTTGTAGTTTGCTTAGCAATGATTAAGCACAAAAAGTTCATTAGAGTTGGGGATAGTTTGGTATTAAGAAATAATAGCTATTGTTAGTTTGGATTAGAGAACAAACATTATACTTGATGGTGCTCGAAATCGTTATACCCAATTGTAGAATAACTACAGTGCGAGGCCCAATGGGGGCTTTATGAATATTTGGGTTAATAAGGAAGTAAGTGTTGATGTTGGATCTAAGAATAGAATATAAGTGGTTCATCTTAGCTGAAAGATCATGACTATATCCACTGTAATAGAAGTTTTTGCCCCTTAGAAATTGTATTGTTTGAAAAAGAAGACAGTAGTTACAGAGTGTTTTTTTTTTCTCAGAGCCTTTTTTACATAGTATATCCCTTGAATAAAATTTTGGAACTCTCCTTACACAGTGTCTTTGTCTTCTATTTATACATGTGGTCATTTAGGATTTTCTACGATTCTTCTTTTTTTTGGCTGATTCTGTGACCCCCTCTTCATTTGTCCTATAGCAAGGTATGCCACCCCAATGCCCTTTGTGCCCACAATCCTTAAAATGTATCTAAATATTCCCTTTACCAAGGAATACTTGTTTGTTAGGGTTATCAGAAGTTGTCCCCTTGCCCCCCTGGACACATGGCACGATGGGAGCCGCTTGGGATTTATCCTATACCGAGCTCCTAGTTCTCAAGTTGGTCCATTCCATCGTACTTGAGACGACCAAGCAGACATATATTGAGTTGGATGGCCTTGGACTTCATACCCTGGGCTATGATCCATTTTCATGACGAAGCGGGAGCACCACAAGTGAGTCACTTAGGTTGTCATTTAAAAGGGGTCTATCAAATGTTCTGGGCTCTGAATGAGCGTCCCAAGCTTAAAACTATCGGTATCAATACCACAGCATGTTCTTTAAGCCTTAAAATAAATGTGCTTGGACTTATTAACTTAAAAGAATCCCAAACTGTACTTTTGAATAATTTTCACAAAAAATAAAGTGGGAACCAATAGGATGGCTATAGTATATTAGATTGGGTTGTAAAAACTAATCACCAAGTATTGGCATTTGAAAAATATATTATGGAGAAATCATTTTTCTCTTTTTCCCAATTGTTTTGGTATTTAGGAATCAAAACCTTTGAAAAGTTTTTTACATGATGTAATTGGCGGTGACAAGGAACATGTTTAAACTATTATGTTATTCATTATGATTTTCTTTCATTCACACTCCCTACATCACTTCTATAGTCGCATCTAATGCAAATTTGTATCCAAAACAACGACGCATTCAGCTGCATTGTTACCGGTGTCACAGTACCTTACATATATATAGAAGAAGAGTAATGAAACCACAACATACTGTCAATCAATAAATAGACTCGAGGATCAACAACATCAAATAATTAATTAATAATGTTTTCAGCATCCAAAACACATGACTTACTATTTCAAAACATCATACAACTTCCATATATAACCTTAGACAAGGAGATCAAGCCCCCTCTATGAATATAAACAGATGAATTAACCCGGTTGTAGCTGTACCATGTTAGGCCTGTCTCTTGATTATAGATAAAATAACCTTCATAAGACTTGAGCAGTATTCCACCATTCTTCCAAAGGCCAACAACCTTAAAATGTCTATTATCAGGTCTCCTACAAGGGGCACCTATGTACAATATATATTCTTTGACCCACTTTTTTGGGACATAATCCTTCATGACCCATATCTCGATTTTTGTATCATATGAAAGATCAGTCATACCCAAATCTCCATTCAGATCAACCAACTGGAAAAACCGAAAATCTTTTGACTGCAAGTTAGCATAAGGAATCAAGTCGAACTTCTCCTTCCCAACATCGAAAGAAACGATGAAATTGTCGAAATCGGAGAAAGGGTCAACAAGCCAATGCAAAGCTCCATGTGCAAATACAGGAGTACAATAGATTGGATAAGTAGGAACTTCATCTATCTCCTTCCATGTGTTTGTTCCTACTGTGTGCACTAATGTGCCCAACCCATAACAACTTGATCCTCCAAAATTCAATTCACGAAAGAAAACACAAATCATCTTGAAAGTGTTTGTTGAAATATCGAAACCTAATCCGTAAGTCTTCCAGCGTGGCAGATTAGGACACTGAATTTCTATCGATGGAAGCCTTTGAAACTCTTCTCTAAGAGGATTTGACACAATGACACACCCTTCATCACCACCTTCTGTAAAATATTGCAATCCATTGCAAGAACCCGTGAAACAATACCCCTTTAAATCGAACTCTAGGAGAGGATTCTCACTTGTTTCTAAAGTCTCACCCTTTTCTTTTAGCAAATACAAACTCATAGTCATGGTGGATTTTGTCAGCCTAGGATCAAAAACAAGTATTGGTGTAGGTTCGTCCCCGACTTGTTCTATGTGCATGTTGGCCAAATATGGGTGATCAATAATGTTGCACCATGGTCTAGATACGCACCTGAATTGAAACAGCGACTTCAGGGGTATTCTTGAAAAAATATTGAAGACGATATCGAGAGGGAGTTCATCCATGCATATTCTTGAAGGATGGTCATTGATAATATCGGTAGTTGGTTCGTTTGGGTAGAGAATAGAGCTCATTGTGGATGACTTGTGCTTTGTTGTTTCATTGTTTTCCTTCATTGTCAAAACAAAGCTAAGATATATAATAATAACACTCCTAGTCCTAGGTTGGCTGAATCTTAATTGAACCAAACCCAAACTACCAAGGAAAGAATGATCTTTGGATAATGTTTTGCCCTATTAAATCTGGGTTTGTTTCCAAATCAAACTCTTAAATTCGTTAAATCCTATTTATGAGTGGGTTTTCATGGGTTCCGTCGATATTGTGTCGGACAGATTGAATCCAACGGTGGTGGATTAAACAAATTCTGAAATTTCAAGACTATAAAATGAAGCTGATTCAAATCCAACCAATTATCTCTTGTTTTGATTACAAATTGGAAAACTTTATGTAGAGGATTGAATTAATCTATTTTTTTTTTTAGATATACTAGTTGGTGTACACATGTTTTGCACGTAAATAATTTCATTACAAATAATTTATTTAACACCAATATTAGAAAAAGTGACGCTGACACTATGAATAGTCGAAGTAAGCTAAGATTGTGATTTTACTTACCCTAAAAAATATTGAGATTGAATTTCTTTTGTTTTGTTTTGGGGTTGGGGAATCAAAGTTTGGAAAAGTTTTAATCTCTATTTGGTTGGCTCGAAACAAATAATATTTTTCAAAGGTACATAAACCAATGTCTTTCAATTTTTTTAGTGTCCAATATAAAGTTGAAGACGCAAAACCTCTGACACAAAAATCCAATAAAAGTATCAGATAAATTATTTTGATTATTGTAATTCTGACACCTTAATTTGACTTATCTTAAGGGAAAATAGTGGGACTAAATTCAATAAAATAGTGTCTATTAATCATTCTTTTGTAAAATCTAATTATATTTGGCATTATAAATATACACTCCAATAAAGAGATAAACTATGTTACACAGGGTTAGGTCGGATACAAGGCATGCTCACCTGAAATGAGGATCACAAAATATTACTTTAGCTATTTGTTGTTCAATGTGTTTGCAATTTTTTTTTTGAAATATTTTTCCAAGATACAAAAGAGTGAGAAAAAATAATGAAAAGTTGAAATTGAAATTAATTGTTCAACTAACATTCAATCAAATGACCAAAAAATTAAGCAAGTTCTTACACCATTATGCTTGTGCACATAAATTTACGATCAAGACCATTTATAATATAAAACAGGACAAATTTTAATAAGTTCATTCGACGGTCTCAAATAAACTCATCCAACGGCTACTAGCATCTCTCTCAAAATCATTCATATTTTATCGTGTCTTCAAGCACAGGATATCCTTAGTTAATATATAAATGTAAACCCACAAGCTCTTTTTATTTTTGGGAGAATCGCAAGCCCCCACACATATGAATAGAGGCAAAGGTGATTACCTAGAAATCAAGCTCTCCAATATAGAGAGGGCAATTTCACGTCAAACAAATATATCAAATAATTTTTTTTTTTTTCAACAATCCTTGAAACTCAATAGAAAAAGAAAAAGTTTTCAAAAAAATTTGTAGTTACTATAAACTCTTGGTTTTTCCATAATCACAAGAGCAATGCTATTAGGACATAATTTATGGACATAATTTGGAGACATAATGAGTTGTCACCAATGAAATGATAATGAATTCATTTAATGCTTCAATGGGACCTATCATTAAGTACAATTCACTATTATTTTATTAGTGACAACTCATTATGTCCCAATAGCATTAGTGTAACCATAAAACCCAAACATCAAGACACGTGAAAATTTTTAAACTTTCTTATAGTAACACAAAATTTTTGGCCTATGAATATTAAAACCTCAAATAAATTCATATGAGGATACATTAAAGTCAACAAGCAAAACTTTTTTTTTATTTTTTGTTGGTGCAGTTCAATATCTTTATATATCTCCTGATATCTTTAACAATTTCTATTCTACCACACGTTTATTCGGAAAGAAAAGAAAAGAGTAGACTATCCATATGACTCTTAAATTGTAATTTTTGTGTCAATTTAAGTCCCTGAACTTTTTTTTTTATCAATTGAGTCATTGAATTCTCTAATTATGTCAATTGAGTTTTTGTGTCTACCTTTGTTAAATTTTTTAACGAAAAATGACGAAGTTGTCACTCACATGACATAAATGATTAGAGTAAACTGCACATATGACTTTTGAATTATGATCATTATATCAATTAAATCCTTGAATTTTTTATGTTGTGTCAATTAAATACCTGAACTCTCTAATTGTGTCAATTAAGTCATTCTGTCTTTTTTTGTCGTATATTCACATGATCGGTACACTCTAACAGAGGCAGATAAAAGGGCTCAATTGACCCAAAAATAAAAAAAGTATAAGGACTTAATTAACACAAATATTATAGTTTATTCAAAAGAAAAATGGGTCACCTTTACCCGCAACAGCAGTATCCATAATTTTTTCCAGCAAATCTCAGTTTTTGTACCCATGACTTTTTCCTTATTTAGTTTGTTTTCTTCTTTCAGTAGTATTTTTCTCAACACTATGCATGAGTTGTGATTAGCATATAATTATACATATTTAGTGTTTTTTTTTATTAATTAGAACTTTTTATGTTCGGTATTCAGTTGTATATTTAAGCTTTTTTTTTGTTTGTGTTCTTAATGCTATTGACCTTTATTCTCCCCTAAAATACATTATGAATGATCTATCATTAAGAAAAAATTGAGAGAAAGTATTTGACTCCTTTCCAATGGCTAGAAAAAAACATACTGAAAAAGATTTGAATATCAATAATCGAATCTGTTTCAGAATTTTAATCTCAATTAATATTTTTCCCTCGTAAAGCATATGACAAAGCTTTATAAAATGGGAGGTGGTTAGGCTGTTAACAGAGCTTAGGAAATTGGGATTTAATCACTGAAGAAAAGGGCATATCTAGTGCACGCAGTCTTATCTCTACAAATTGAGAGATTGTTTCCGTAACTTGAACCCGTAACCTCTGGTCACAATGGAACAACTTTATTATTGCGCCAAGAACCGCCTTTTTAATCACCGAAGAAACAAACATGAAAAAAGAAAAGGAAAAGAAAGTTTTGAAGCGAAGAGCTTTTGTATGTATGAAGGAAGAATTGACTGTCATTTTCTTTGTGCATCATAATATTTCTTTAGTGGATTACTTGCAATCTGGCCTGGCCATCTCGTTGTGGATGTAGAATTTATATATTTATTTATTTAGTTATTATTATTATTATTATTTATTAATATATAAAGAATTTGAACCCTGCACGATTGGTATATGTGACATGAGAGACCCATCTTAGCACAAGGTCAATATTCCAATTTCTGGGTATGCCAAGTTAGGTCATCTCGAGTTTGGTGCCTTGGTCGACGCAAATACCATTGCCATTGACATTTGCTTAAAATAATCAGAGACGATGAGGCGCCGGCGCCGGCGCCGCCCAGTGTGGAACAAGGGGAAGGGGGCAACAAAAACTTCAATAACCTACATTTCCTATTGCAAACCAATGGACCAAGGTTCTGTTTTGTTGTCGTATAGTAAGAAAAAAGGATTGTATTAGTTAATATGGACTAATTTTATATAAATGGATAAAACAAAATATTAGACTAATAACCAAATAAGATTGTATTATTATTTATTTAATCAGGTTTAGTACTTTGTTTAATAAATAAATTTAATTTCGTATTAATTTAAAAAATGTATACTTATTATATATATTTTTAATATCATAGACATATATTATGGAGGTATTTTAATACCATCAAAAGATATGGTATTATAATTCATATCAAATGTCTTAGTGTACACATTTACTATTATAATCCCACAACCGATAAAACCAAACTATCATTAATATAATAAACACTGATTGATGATATTTTTATTAATTCAATATTAATACCATGAAATAATGTTATAACCAAACAACTAATTGGATTAAACAACTCATATCCAACTCTTATATTGTGTATTGTTAAATATTAGATAAAATTACGTATTATTCTAATAGTCTATTTAATTTTGCCTTTTATCCATCTATATTGTATTAGACTGTATTACTTTATTTAATTCATCCATTTCTAATACAAAAATCAAACAAGCCCTAAGTGTTTGATAAGACACTAGATAAGGGTGCGATAATAGACTCTTAATTTTATATTGACCAAAAAATAATCAATCTTGTTTAATAATTAATGTTTTTGTTTATTTTGTGGGTAAAATAGTAAATTTATAACTTAATATACTGAAACTAGACAATAATACCACTTCTCCAAGTGGTATTATAAGCGGCTCAATAGTACGAATAGAATGTATTATTTAGATGTGCAATTGAAATAAGGCTACATATAATACGAAGTATTTTTTACAACTAAATATAGTATAAGATTAGATTACAGAGTTTTAATTTGTTTTGACTCCTTAATGTATCTCTTAATACTGCAACTAAACGATTTGAGATCAGTTCTCCTAATCCCTGCATAATATCTACCAAACACAAGGCGAAAAAGACCTTTGAATGAAAGGCTTAGACCAATAGGGTTTCCAGTACCAGCGACAGAAGGATCAATGAAAATGCGAGAATTAGGGTTTCCAATGTAGGGGTTAGCAAAATGAGGAGGAGAATGGCATAGGGTATGTTTCCATCGATCTGATACTCCTACGCTGGGAATCATGGCGAATGCAAGAGTAGTAGTATATAGTCAAAGAGGCAAAGTTGTAGAAAAATAATCACTGAAACACAATTACAAAGGAAGACGAAGGTAAAATGTCTACATGCTTTAAATAGTGTTTGCACCAATGCACGCCCACGTTTCACATAAATCCATGCACGTGACAAAGCAACAAGTTTGATTATTTTCAAGTTAATATGAAGAATTAATCCATTGATATCATATACTATGTGTTAGGCTTTGTTATTCTAGATGTTAGGTTGTTTTTAGTGGTTTGTTACCACTCGGTCAATAAGTCCCTATTGTTAAGGGATGGTTGTTTGTTTGAATTAATCATCCCACATTATCAGGATTTGTTAATTGTGGGTAGTTATTTTTTGT